CACCCCACCTGGCCTTCGAGTCTTGGGTCAGTCTCCTCTGGGCTGTCTGGGATCAGACTGAACCACCTCACAAGGGATTCACCACCCCCCCTGGCCTTCGAGTCTTGGATCAGTCTTTTCTGGGCTGTCTGGTTGAGCCCCCACTCATCGGTGCATCAGACTGAACCACCTCACAAGGGATTCACCACCCTCCCTGGCCTTCCAGCAGTTTGATCATTGGGTTCTATTCATGCTTGGATCAGACTGAGCCACCTCTTAAGGCCTTCGCCACCTTCCTGGCCTTGCAGATGGCAGGCTGGTTGGGTTTCGCTGACATTCTGTGCTGCATCACTTCAGAAACAGATCTGAATCTAGCCTTTGTCAGTTCAGGGTCCCAGCAGTGAAAGGTGTGTGTCACTGCAGAAGTGCAACTTCCAGTTTTGCAGCTCTTGTCGCAAACCAAAGCAGGCATTAGGATTCGCATGCACTCCGATCCGATGAGTTGAGGTAGGTGATGGCCGATGTGCGTGGGGTCACTGTCCTAGATGAACCACAGGGCCAGAGTGTTACATCATGACTATCATGCGGTCTTCGGATCTTTCCTTTTTTGTTGAAGAACCAGGACGTCAATCTGACTTCGTCTTGGACTAGATCACTGTGNNAGCTGCGTAGGGTCGCGTTGCCATTCTGCAGACTTCCGACCTCGGCTTCCGGCGACGAGTGTTTTCAAAGTTGATTGCTTTGGCCTTGGATGAATGGGTAGGCACTATTTGCCTCGCAATGCATGCACTGCTCTGTTCTTGATCTAGTTTCTGATGCTGTTGGCTGCCGGCCTGTATTGGCGTACCTGCTCCTGTGTCCGGGAATGCAGGAGGCCGACCTTCTGGCCAGCCCTCGCATCGGCTGCAGCGGGCCCAGTTTTCTGCTGCCAGAAAGGAACACCTGTGCTTGGCCTATCGTGTGTCCTCACCTGACCTCTCGCCATTTTGGACCTCGGGTGTCCATTTGGAAGATGACTAGAACTAGACATGCAACACTCAACTCGACCACCCCCAGTCTTCAGTTCGTTCAATGCTGAGCAGCAGAGGACAGAGCAATGGATGTATTCATTTTTACGGTAGACACATGTATTGTAGTCCTCTGTGTCTGGCACTGTTGATGCTCCTGTCACCGTCTGTTCTATGGTTAATGAAGAAGTCGGGCTCCGGCCATGGCAATCAAAAGCTGGTTTTGATCTGGAGGATGAAAAGCCTGCCTTCGCCTTGGGCTTCGACTTGAGCGAGAAGCCATTGCCAGATATTCGGCTTGAACCAGAGACAACTGAGCCAGAGCAGCTGGGCTTCACTTTTTCCAATGAGCTTGTCGAAGCCACAGCTGCTGGCTTCGCTCTGGATGAGGCAGGCACAGTGGATGAGAGTGAGGACTGGGCTCCAGGAAGGAATGTTGGATCGTTTCTGCGACGGGGTTCCGTTCCACTGACAGCACAGGGACAGGTGCTGGTGGCCAATGTGGCATTGGCAAGCAGAAGACTTTCCAAAGATGTCACGAAGCGTGCCCTGGCGGAGCTGCCGAGCCTTGTCGACAAGAAGCAAGAGGAAAACACCAGCAGCTCGATCTCTCGGACAAACCTTTTGGCCAGCCGACTACTGCGGATCCCACCTGGCACAGTGCAACACACTGTGAATCGCCTGAGGCAATGTTCCTGGGTTCCAAGAAACCCAGTGCCCGCTGGTCGGCGGGCCTCGACTGGTAAAAAGGTCGCCTTGTTGGAATCTTAGCAAGATGTTGTTTTTGATGGTAAAGATTTCCCTGAGCATGAGTTCCTGGCAGGAGGGTCATTTAAGTAACTATAAAAAACACANNATATGAACTTCAGGTGCGTCAGGCACAGTCCAGTTTCGTCGCCGGCCCACCTCTGGAGACTCTGGTTACTCTGGTCAGAGAATGCCTCTATACAAGTTCGCATGGCCGCCCTGACGCCTCGTACACACACTCTTTGTGTAGGCTCAGTTTAAACAAGGTGGATTGCGGAGACAAGTATGGCTCCCCTGAATTCTTACAGTTCGTCGAACATCTCGCGGGCAGATACGTTGAATGCCTGGACAGATGCTCGGCGGAGATACCTGTTTCAGTGACTGATCCAGACATACTGTTTACTTCATGGGCTACTGAAACAAGAGCCGAGGTGAGGCACTTGATCGACCTCTCCCTGGCCTTGGTGTTCGGTCACCAATCAGTCTCGTCTTCGACGGCATCACTCTGGGCAGTGCCACATTCGCCAGACACGAGTCACTGCAAGTGATCTGTGTCACCAGCATTGATGCTGCCACGGGCCGGCTGGTGAACCGCTTGCTCGCGACGCCCAGTGTGGCCGAAGCCTTGTTTTGAGGTCTTTGTTTGAAGTTTCCTCCTGATAACGTCTTGTGTTTGTGGGGAAGGGATCATCACACTACCCCGCATGTCTTCCATCGCTTTTGTGCCAGGTGGGATCCGACAAGGATGGTGTTTCCGTCGCCAAAGTGGTTTTGGCTGGATTGGTCCAGCACTCGTGTGGCTTCAACGAAGCCCGCCTTCGCAGCCTACCGCTGTGCATGGTGGGTGGCGACGGAGCCAACGTGGGAGGAGGCCCTCGGGCGCTGCACTCCAGCACGAGGGCCTCCGAGAAGCTCTGGGACCTCGTCTACACCTTCGGCAACAATTCGCCTTCGAACCCCATGGTGCTATGGGATGGTTTTCACCGAGCCAATACGGCGTACGAGAAGTGCGTGGCTGACCACCAGTTTATCGCAGAACTGTTGGCCTGCGCAAAGGCCATGAACGCTTCCTTTGGTGTTGGCCCTGGCCAAGTCGTCTACAGGAGTACGGCGGCCGAGCTGGACATCGGCATCAAGAAACCAGAGGACATGGGCGGGACACGTGTGCTGATTGCAACCTTGAATGTACCAGCAAACCTGTTGAACAACTTGCAGGGTTACGTTGCTGGCTTGCACATGAAAATACACCGCCGACAGCGTGGCAAGGGATCCAACACACAGACGAGTCTGGCCACCATCGGCCGCAGGTTGTCTTCGGTAGATTTCGTCGCCTTCGCCCTCGCTGTGGATGGTGTTTTCGGTAAAGTTCTGCGCCCATTTGCCCAAATTGTTCAACGAGGCTGCGACGAACCGTGGGTGCCACAATGGGCATTTGAGGACATGTTGAGGAAGTTCCACTGTTGTGCCTTGACAAATGTCCTTGTCATTATTTTCTCCACTCGGTTTGAGATTATGTGAAATCGGATGTGGGGTTCTAAGTCATGACAGAGGCAAGGAAGAGCTGCGGAAGCTCCGGCGACTCGTCTTCGTCGTCACATTGCTTCAGCACTACAGTCCAAAAGCTGAGCTCAAAGCCATGGTCTTGGCATTCAGATCTTCCCAAGAAGGCCGACGATTCAGTCACTTCTTACATGCCATGGTCGACCTGATCGTGGAGCGTGCATATCGTGGAACTCAACTCCAGGCTTGGCCATGGCGGGCCCTAGCTTCCCTTGAAAGACACACTGGCACTAGGTAGAAACCTTGATTTGTGCAGGTCAGTGTAAGCTTCATGGGCTGACTTCCAGGCAAACAGGGGAACATGAACACGTAGGATCTGTGAAGCATGCTCTCACCATGCCTGGAGGTCCTGGTCGACCTCACTCCCGGCCAAGTTTGCTACACTCCTCGGTGGCTAGACAGAAGAAGAAGTGCACACATGAATTTTAGTGCAGTGCCACTCCGGCATATAGTAACTGTAGCTTTGGCAGGTGTCAATGCTACACGAGAAGGATGCTCAGACGCCCTCGCAATGTGAGAGTGTCGATCGGCGAACGGAAGCCTGGGCACTCGAGTTGGCCATTCCTTTTGCCATAGGTTCTCGATGCGGTCTGGAGTCGACCTCAATCAAGATTAGGAAATGAACTAAGGAGAGTCAGAGTACCTGAGTATGTTGCACGGTCGCCTTTGACGATTGAACAGTGCCGCCAAGATGTTCGATCTCCGGACCTGGTTGATGTGCTTCCACGGTACGAAACCATGATCCAACCAAAGCTGCCTCCAAGTCTGCAGGGCGAGCCGATGCTTGGCTTTGCTGTGAGGATGGACAGTGCTTTGGCCATAGTATCATAGCTACCTACAAGGTAGTCTCCTCCTTTGACCGGAAGGAGAGTGTGTCAAAGCCAGCCGAGGATGTACCGGCATCATTTCTATGCATGCATCGCACCTCGGCAAGCACCGTTGGTTCATGCGGCGACCGACAAGGCACTGCAGGAGGTTGGCATCCTCATCGACAAGTTGATGTTTTATTTCACTGAGTACTGGTCCGGCAGAGGTGTGGCGCCCGCGGTGGAACAACTGCTGAAAGATATGGCCTCATGCTGGGATTTCCGACTTCTCACTCAGCAGGCACCAACACCGGAGCAGAAAGAGGCCTTCTTGCGGGTGGCCCGCACATGCAGGGAGTTCGTGCAACATGCAGCAAAGCCTCATTCTAGAGACATTGGATGCCGAGTTCAGCCTTGGCCTTCGTCATCGCCTGCTGGAGATCATGAACTGAGGTTGCAATATGAGAGGCTGTGCCTTTGCTGCATTTGCTGCATTCCATATCCTTGTTTAAGAAGAAGAACAGTAACATAACCGAAACCCTGACATTAAAAGGTTCTTTTGTGCGATTACCTTCGAGAGATTGGAGGATCGGTTATTGAAGATATCATGAAGATTCTGAATATAAAATGAATGAAGTTTAAAGCTTCATGTCAATGAAGCTTTCTCGTTCCAAGGACGAACAGGGTTCGGTCTGCTGCCGGTATAGAACGTTTCCGCACAAACTGGTTCTCTGCATCCGGCTACACCGTGGTTCGTGTGCAACATGGCCAGCTCGGTGTGAGACTCTTGGTGGCCCAGCGTATCATGCGGGATGAGCCAGAGGTGATTCAAATCAGCCTGACCGATCGCATTATGCGGTTCTTGTTCTCCTGCCCATCGCCTTCGCCTTTCGAAGTCTCGGCTTCGGGTCTGTGGAAGTGCAGGTCTGGAGAGGGGTTTGTTCCCCAGCGAAAGCATGCCGCACTGCCCCGGGGCCGGTCTCTGGATGTGGGTGAGTATGCGATGCTGACTTTTCGGCCATGCCTTCATCGGCTGGTGCGTGTCACCCGTGTGGAGCAGCAGGTGGATCCTCAGGCAGTCACGGCCTCGATTGCCGCCGTGCCCGACTTTGCACGAGCTCTTCGCAATCGTCCCTTGGCATTCTTCTGGTCGTCGGACTTTAGCTGCTTGGGTTTCTACTATATGAACAGTAATCAGGAAGCTATAAGTGTAAGTTTTAGGAAGGGTTCAACAGTCAGCCAAGGTCCGAATTCTGCAAACACCCATGCGTTCCACGCCGCCTTCCTTCTGGCATGCTGTCGGACGATGCAAGCAGCATCTTCAACTTGTGAACGGGTGGGGTCTTTATTGGGCAGGCTCTTCGACAAGGGCAGCAACATGACGCCTTCTCGTGTGGCCTCTCGTCTTCGTCTTTACGAGATGGGCTTTGAGGGCTTGGGCGGTGACCGTGACGAGGCCTTTGTGAAAGACGTTGCCAGAGCGCTTTTGGATTCCGGGAAACGACCGCACCTCACCCGCAAAGGCAAGGCAGCGAGAGTCAAGAAGGGTCGGGCAGAGACTGGCATTCGGAAGCTTGCAGCTACCCGGAAACAGAGCAACCGAAAAGCTTCCTTGGCTAATTATGTTTGAGCAAGGATTTTTGCCGCAGTCGTACCTACAGGGTTATGCTATCTTACAATTTAATTCCGCATGTATTTGTGTTCCTCGCAAGGCTACATCAATGCGCCGCCATCTGCCGACCTCCTTTGGCCAAGAGCTACTGGGCAAGTGGACCGCCAAGCGCTTTCAGCAAGATCGTCTTGCCCACAAGGAGCTGCATGCACCGCGGACCCTGGATGCAGTGGATGCTGCAAAGGCTAGAACTTTGCGAGTTGGTCTCTCAGTCATGAATTAGAACATTTATGATAATCTTAGTGCTATTGCTTAATGATGGAAAAAAAGAAACTCTTTCTTACTGGGTGGTATGCATTGCCGCTAGCAAGGTGGTCGGATACAGACTCTGCCGATCTTCATTACTCCAGGTCGCAAGACCGGGAATGAGGTCAGGTCGGATGCCAGGCGGCGCCTTGCCACGTGGATGGGCAGCGAGGAGGGCCAAGCTTGGAAGAGGCAACGTCAAGCACTGTTTTCCGTGGACGGCGTCCGGGCTGAAGCCAATCCACATGGAATCGCAGATTAGTCTTTGAAATGTCGAAGAGTCGGGCACGGAAAGGCAGCGAAGCTGCATTGTTCTGTTTGGCTGCAACCTCGTTTTCCCTCTGTAGGGAATTTGGACTTCGTGTTGGAGCTGACTTGGACTTCGTTTCTCAGCCACACCAATCTAGAGCATTGCTACTCTGTCATTGTATTCATGGATATGATGAAATAGAATCAGAAGTAGAATGGCGAACAGACGGAGAATCCTCTTCAGCCTGAGCCGGGAGGAAGAGACCGGCAGCCATGTTGATGTTGCGATTTCAGCAGAAGGCGTGACATTCTGGAGAGTTGTGCTGACTCACAAAAGATAATGTAAAGACGATGCGGTCTTTCAGTTGCTCTCTTGATTCTATGCATGCAGTGCTGAGATGCCACTTGCATTAATTTCCTGTGCGATTTTGAATCATGCCTTCCGGCGGTGTGCTCAAGGCTGAGTTTGCCGAGGAAAAATTTTTCGAGTAGAGCCTGCCATGAGTGCTCCTCAACCTGCCACCTTGCCGCGTCCACGGCCGCGAGCTGAAGCTGCCCTCCGAGATGAGGGGTATATGTCCTTGCCCGTTGCAGATGCGCCTGAGCAGCATTATCGATCTGTTCAACTTGCAACTTGCAGCCAGCCGCGTGCCGTGACCAGCGTGGATCTCAGTGTTGATTGGATGCCAGGGGACGGTTGCATCTATGTGTGCTTGTGCGTGCAAATACCATTCCTTCCCTTCTTGCAGCCGCACTTGATGCACATCACTGTTGGCCAATATACAGCCACACACCGGACCCCCGTTCTGGAGCTCTGTGAAGCCCTCCAGGGCATGTTACGGACCTGGCGCCCAATGCTGGATACGGTCCACCTTCGGCCGCTCAGCCGGCGCTCGTTGCATTTCGGCATCTCGCAATCAACACCGTTTTATTTACTTGTTCTTGAGCTCCAACAGGTCATGCGGCAATATCGCTGTCGGTGCTCCTTCGAACCCGTTCCTCACATTTCGTGGGCCTGTTAGGCCCACCTGCCGCGCGCACTGGTTCCGTGTGACCGGTCAAACGGTCGGTGGACTTCGCCTTCGAGAACAATAAGGGCAAGGGCGATAAGAAGCGGAAGGCCGAGGAGCCGTTGTTTTCCGGCCGCAAGGGCAAGGACCGCAAGGGCAAGGGCCAGGGCAAGATGAAGGATCACGTCGCCTTCGTGAACAAGGGCCGCTGGGGCAAAGGCCGCTGGAACAAGGGCAAGGGCAAGGATGACGTCGCCTTGGACTTGGACAAAGGCAAAGGTAAGGATAAGGGTGGCTCCGTGGAGAAGGGCAAAGGCAAGGAGAAGGGCCGAGTCCGTCGCCTCCTTCGTTAACAAGGCTCACCACTTCCAAGGCGCCGACAGCGTACCTGAGCCACAAGCTTGCCGTGTGCTAGGAAAAAATGAGCCGTGCTGCTGCTTTTGTGGGTCATTTCCAGGATTCCACGGCCTTGATTGTTGCTGATGCTGACTGAGTCAGACAGAGACAGCGCCAAGGTCGTGCTGCGGTGGACTCGAGCAGCTGTCCAGGCGCGGGACCTATGGAAGAGGTAGATAACAGCAGCCATGTCCCAGAGATTTTTGCCAAAGGATGGAATTACAAACTGCAAGGCCGAGTGTCCCGCTGCGTGAGAATTATGATCAAATGCCGCACAAGTGTCGGTCATGCTTTGCTCAGTCAGACCTCTCTCTTGCATTTGCTGTGCGGTGTGCATTTCCGGTCTGCTGACATGATCCGATTCGATGCCAGGGCCTTCTTGCCGTGGACTCCAGCCGCTGCCGAGGCACCGGACCGTTTCATTGCTTGCACACGTGGCCTTTGCCCAGATTTTTTGTTGGCCTTCGTCTTGGTAGTGCTGCTAGGTTACAATTCAGAATCTCAGACGTGTGTGTCATCGCAGCAAGTACTGTGAATGTCTGCATTTCATGCGTAAATTCTGTGGGAGATGCACTTGTGATTGTGTGTTGCAAGCTGGTGATGAGAGCAAGCCAAGACCGCATGCCGAAGCTGTGGGGTAAGTCAAGGACTTCTCAGTCCTGCACATCCTGTCATGCACAGCTTCTGACTCAGATTCTCAGTCCTGCACATCCTCTCAGATTCTCAGTCCTGCACATCCTGTCATGCACAGCTTCTGATTCTCGGCATGAAAAATCTTCTTTGATTAGTAGAATCTACTCCTCGCCTTCGCCGCCCTTCGCCATCGTTTTGGTCTTCGTGCTCCTTGCCTTCGCCGCCCTTCGCCATCGTTTTGGTCTTCGTGCTCCTCGCCTTCGCCCTTCGCGATGCCTCCGAAAGGTTCCAAAGTCGAACAGGTGCAAGCTCCTCAAGTCGTCGAAGCAAAGAGGATGCCACTGTTTCTGGGCCGAAATTGAAGATACAGATAAACTTTATTTCCTAGTTGTTAGGATTCTGCAACTTTTCAAACATGTCCAGAATCCGGAAACGGGGTTAAGCATTTTTTCCAAGGTCCGAGATCAGCGTGGATCCTGCAGTGTCCGGATGGAGGGACAAGGATGAGGATCGCATCCAGGAGCTGGTGGAGCTTTTCCGGGCACCAGGCAACTACAACACAGGCCTGCTCCGTGGACCCAGAGCCCTCTACCACTCCCACGAAGACCGACCGATGCTGGATTCCTCAGGCCACATGCTGCTGGACGACGGCCTGTCCACAGTGTGCGCCTTGCAGACGCTGCAGGCCGAGTGGGAGGTGGCTCAGGCGAAGACCTGCGAGGACGACGAGGTGGGAACATGATAAGGCAAATTTTCAGAGTGTTCTCAATATGCTTAGTTATCCTACCCAGCTGTTGCTATACATGTCTGATGTGTGTATGTGTGTGTGTGTGCATCATTCATTGCGTTGAATCATTATTGAACCGAACCCAAACCATTGCCTAACTTGAGGTCGCCTTCGTCTTCGACACTCGCCTTGTGAAGGTCTTCACGGAAGGTGTCTTCCTCGAGTTCGTCCGTTACGACACCGAGCAGATCGAGGTGCGGGTCGCCTTTCAAACCGGCGCCCATGACGTGGACAACAACAAATACCAGGCCACCTCGCTGTACGACATGGTGCGGGTGGTCCGCCTCATGAAGGCAAAGGTCAACAACAATGACTATGCTCAGGTGTCGAAGCGGTTGCAAAGCGTGTTGGGCTCTGGGAAGACATTGGTTCCTGGATAAGCATCCTGTGTATTCTAACGTTGTATGATTAACTAGGCATTCTTATATTATGATTCTTCTCCTGCCTTCTCTGCTTCACAGCCCAGGAAAACCACCATTCAACGGTGGGTGAGATTGGAGCGGTATCTTCCTGAGCAGGTCCAGGAGGCATTGCGATACCGGAAGGCTATCTTGCCAACCCACGTGTTCGACAATTCCTACTTGATGGGAGAGGGATTGAAGGCACGCAACCGCATGTCGCCTTCGTTCGCCTTGTGCCCTGGTGGCACAAAAGCTTGTCTTGACTCTTGTATCCATGCTAACAACTACGGAGGCTTGTGAAGGTCATTTGTAGAAATACTTAGGATCGCCTTGGACTTGTGGCTCGAGCAGCAGAAGGAGGGCGCCATCTTCAGCAAGGTCGCCTTCGAGACTCTGGTGTGCCAGCCATTGAGAGTCGTGGAGTTGCTCCGGGGTACTTAGAATTTTTTAATCTTTGGTTACTATATTAATCCCTAAGAACTAAGAAACGGCTATTTTTTTTTGCTAGGGGTCTAAGTTCAGTATAGGTTGTGGCAGCAGGCGCAGATCAGGAAGTTCGGATCGGTGGCAACACAGAGTCCGGCTTTCGAAAGGGCGATCCAAACGTTGTGCACGAAAGGTGGATTGCAAAGTGTAGCCGCCTGTGTACAACAAGGAGTGCCCCTCCAGGGACATTCCGATGCACAACCGGGAGTGCAGCTTGGTTCTCCGATAATACCCAACCTTTTAATCTTTTTGGGTTCTTGTAGTTTAGTAATCTGAAAGTTTAACATTGTATTTCTTGGCTTGTTGGAGAAGTAAGGCAGATGTGCAGGGACATCTTCCTAGAGATGTCCAAGCACATCGCCGGCAGTGCAGGGCCCGGAGGTGCCACAGATGCGGCGAGCACAGGTTCGGGAGGCTCCTCTCGCAGATTGGCTGTTTACTGTTTCAGAGTTGTTTTGATTTGGATTGGGCCGTTGGGAGTCTTGAGTAACACCATTTTGTCGATACGGCCGGGTGCTGTTTAAGACTGACCCTGGCCTTGGCATGATCTGCAAGCTTCTTCGTAAATGTAATATGTCCACCTCCGTCTCGACTCAGGTGCCACTGCCGCTGCCGCAACCTCCTCGGGCGCCAACACTGGTGAGGATGACCTCATGGGCTTCGTGACCGAAGAGGCGGAGGATCCCTTGGAGAAGCAGAGCAAAGAAGCTTCAGCGGCATTTTCTCCGTTTCGAGAATCAGTTGTTGTGGAGTCCGAGCTCGGAAGTAACAGTCCTGAAAGTGGAATAGATGTGCAAAGAGTGCTGAAACCACTAAGCAAGGAGCATGCCCATGCGGAAATGGACAAGATCTTCCTCGCCTTCGACGAGCGTACTTTGGAAGACTACATGACCCCTCGTGTGCTACAGTCTCAGCGCGTCGCCTTCGTTTTGGATGCCCCCACCTCCCGAGTCCTCATAACGGCAGGCTTCTTGGAAACCGTTCAAACCATAGTACAGCGGCTGAGCCTCTCCAACTACAGCATCGGTGTGATGGTTGGATCACGTTGGGACTTGCTTGGAGCTGTGTATCTTGGCCAGAAATGAATGTATAGGAAAGTTGAAAACACCAGTAAATGAACGAACGACAGTGTTGAAAGACAATCATCAAGAGTCATATTCTGAACATGATCGTCAGGCAAGCCAAGATGCAGAAGATGTGGCCGAAGGCTGTTATTTACGTGGTCCAACTGAATGCCGGGGAATTGCAGCTCCTGAAGGCCAAGCCAGCCTATGTTTTGGTCTCCCACATGGGTGCGGGGCAATTCAACGTGCCGGCATCGCTGGCCTTGCTGAAAAGCAGAGCACGAGGCTTGGAGCAGACTCGCCTTCGATGCTTGGATCGTGGATGTTACTTGTCCGCAGAGCAGATAGCCGCCGTTGTGTGCAGGCAGCTTGTGAGTGGAAGATTATGTCCCCCGGTAAGGTGGTCTTCGCACCGATCAAGAGAAGGCTTCCATGCTCAAGATGGACACCAATGACCCCAATCAGAAGGTGCCGACTGATCAAGACACTCGGCGCAGCATCAGACACAAGGTGATCTGCAGAGTCGAGCTTTCTTTCTAGTGCATAAGACGAATGAATGACAAGGAGCTGGACATGGAGCACCGGGAATGCCCCGCCTTCGACATCATGGCTGCTGCTGGG